TACATTTCGATAGAGTAGTAATACTTAATTTAGATATTCTGAACAGTTCTTTCAACAGCAAATTAAGTGTTGCCAACAATGAAATTGATGACGTCACAATAGAGATTGATGACGTTACAATAGCAAATGTTGTTTTAAAAAGTGTCATGACAACATTTGCCTTCTCAATGCATTGCAATGGAAGTAAGCAGAGAAAATGTAAATGATATTTAATGAAATACCAGAAGAAACACAGCCATCGTTGATGGACAAGGACTTATTTACGTAGTATTTCAATAAATAAAACCTGTAGGTAACAAATATATGCATTTCATCTTTCGTGAATAGACTTAAATATACCTTAAAAAACACGACATTTTGTGAGCAATGGTTTTGGTTAGGTAATACGGCATGCTATTTAGTGTGTCGTGTGGTTTATCGTTTGGATTTGTAAGGATAAACGGGTATTTGTATTTGTAATAAATGTTTTACAAATGTGACGTTTGTATGTAATTTTTCATGAAATATCGCATGAAATACGACAACCGTCGCTGGACGATGACCTGTTAATAAAATCCTATACTTATACTAAAATGGTATATGTAGGCAAAACATTTAAATGGATTTTATGATTTAATCTTTCGTAAATAAACGACGAAAGCTTCAAATCAAACTTACCAGCTTAAGGTGAATAGTATCGAACAGAATTGTGAAATGCTCATATGTCACCATGCTAGACAAGTTAAATGTCAGTCGTCTTAACGTGACAGTTATCAGACCAAGTCATCATAATTGGAATCGAACTCGACCTAAATTACCACGTTATTGCTAAGTTTGCTAGGCGTTTCCATGCCATCTTACTCTATAGCAAGTCTCGACTCGTGAAAGAGGATTCGTGTGTATATATGATGTTAAGGTGAACATCTCTCCTTTTTGAAGGTACAAATTTATCTGAGCAGGAAAATAAATCAACTCCATGCATACTCAGCAATTTATTCATGATTCTAACAGATTTTAACCCACCCCGCTCCCTTTCCCTCTTTCTATCTCTCTCTGTTATAGTTAAAAATCAGCTTGTATATAAGTTGAAATGTTTTTGTACCGATCTTTTCCGATGCTGACGGCACAATAGAAACGGATATTCAAGGACGAACGGAATGACAAAGAGGAAGCAAACCAAGGCTTTTTGTTTGTTTGTTTGTTTGATTTTGTTTAACGTCCTATTAACAGCTAAGGTCATTTAAGGACGGCCTCCCCTGTGTGCAAGATGCATGCGTGTAGTGTTAGTGTGTGTATTTTGGGAGGCTGCGATATGTTCGTGTTTGTCTCCTTGTGATAGCGCGGAACTGATGCCGACTTTATAGTGCTACCTCACTGAAACATACTGCCGAAGACACTCAGCAGGACGCCCCACCCGGTCACATTATACTGACAACGGGCGAACCAGTCGTCCAACTCCTAATTTGCTGAGCGTTAAGCAGTGATGGACAATAGTACAAGGCACGGGAGTGATGGACAATAGTACAAGCAGACAATCAGAATGTTTAGGAAAGTGTATAGTGTCAACTGCTGCCGTCAGTGTTGGAAAAGATTGTTCACATTATGAAAAAAATCCATCTTTAAAAAATCTCTCTCCCTCTCTCTCTCTCTCTCTCATAAGATATGTACAAATGGTTGTGTATATGGTATATGCCATCTTGAATTTTGTAAGTATATACAGATGTTTTATTATAGGGAAAGGGCTTTAAATAAGTTGTACAACTTGTGCTCAGTCCTGTTGCTTTAAAGGCAATAAAATATGTTTAAATCGAAATAAGGTGAACACTCGTCTGCGATATATATTACACTCTTACATGAAGGAATTTTATGTGTAAGGCATTGGGCAGGGCAATATTTGTCATGATATTTCTGAGTCGACAATCATTATAGCGGATTTTTGAATAGTTTAATGACAGTAAAGTAATGAAAGTACCATTAAAGAATATATACAGTTTTGTAACGTTACTTTGTACAGAGCATAAATAATTTCAGTAGTTATTGCACAAACTAGACAAAACAGTTGACGTAATTGGCAATGCAACATCTAAGATATTACAATTGAAAGTCAACCTATTAAATGCAGTGACCAAGTGATTGAAGCCCAAAGCCAAACCATTAAATCTAACAGCCAAACCATTAAATCTAACAGCCAAACCATTAAATCTAACAGCTAAATCATTGATTGCAACCGCGAAACCACTGGATCCAACAGCCTACTAATGTAATCCAACAGTTCAGCAATTAAATTTAGCCACATAATTATCAACTTCAACAAACAAATTATTTGATCCAACAGTCAAACGATTGGATCTAACACTTAAACCATTGAATCCAATAGTAAAGCCATTAAAATCGACAGTCAAATCATTGAATCTAGCAGCCAAACAATTGATCCAACAGCCGAACCATTGAATTAAATTGTCACACCATCAAATCCTTTGCTACTTTTTGTATTTCTTTTATATGCTATCTCTGCAAATCAACATCGAGTACTGATTTCACACTCGTGTTTTGACGTTACAGTATCATATGATGTGTTTTACTTCAAATTAATTGAAATTTCCTGAAAATATGTAGGCATAATCTTTGTATTTTGAATACAGTGATCACAAATGCGTTGATCAGCACTTTGAGTTCGGATTTCATATTTGTATGTGGAAGCTGTGGTATATTCAACTCTGCTCTACTTATGTAATATACATCCTTTGTGATACGAAACATTTCGAGATAACAAATATTTTGGTCAACACTAGCATCAAGTAACTCTATCCTAGCAATGAAACACGTCAGTAAAATTGCCCTTTACTTTTAGCGTCAGATGTGATGTAGCTGGCTGCCTACAGTTAACTAAAATAAAACTTGATATCTGAGAGAGAGGTCAACACCACATCATAAAATATGATATTTAAACAAGTATAAACACGAACATTCGTGAACGGAGGGGACACAGCTCTATCAGAATTTATTGAATATTTTATCTTATCACTACACGGTTTTGCTTTATTGAGTATTGGATACTGTGTTAAGATCTTTTGAATTATGAAGTTAAGATGCCATTTGTATCCTCATAAATCAAAGTTGAGCAGGCTTTATAAAATTCCTTGGCCGCCATTTTGAACACATACATACTGAAGTATCCTATACAGAACAGATATTACTCTAAGCAAAAGCGTTTAGATAGCTTACAACGATGGGGCAGTCTTTAATAACTGTTATAATATACATGGTAGAAAAGTGAAATCTAAAAATTGAATATTTAATTCATGTAATCTTAATAGATAAATTGTCCATTTTACCTTAATTCCAGTATTTTATTGTGAAAAATTAAATGACAAATATCTTGAAATGAAATATCGACATCAGCTTCAATAGCAAATATATTTCTTCACCTCAATATTAGTCAGGATGATATTCACTAGACATGTAGATTTGTACAAGTATATGTAAAACTCAACAACATCAATAAAATACACGAAACATACCTTCGGCGATGGACCAGAGATGACAGCCGCCAATACTGTATACACGAGGTAAGTGCTGAGTAAATCTATCCTAGCAATGAACTACGTCAGTAAAATTTACCCTTGCTAGCGTCAGATTTAATGTAGTCGGCTCCCTGCAGTCAACTAATATAAAATGTAATATCTGAGAGAGTTGTCAACACCACGTCATAAAATATGATATTAAAACAAATTGAAAATGCCAAATTTAAGCACCAGCATCCATGAACGGAGAGGAAACAGCTCTGACAGAATTTTACAGAGAGGTTTATTGAATATTTTATCCCAATACTTAGCTTATCACCACACAGGGTTTGCTTTATTGAGTATTGAATACTATGTTAAGATCTTTTGAATTATTAAAGTGAAGATGCCATTTATTTCCTCATAAATCAAAGTTCAGCAGACTTTGTACAATTCTTGGCGGCCACTTTGAACACGTACATGCTGAAATATTATATACAGAACAGCTATCCCTGTGGGCAAAAGCGTTTAGATAGCTTAGAACGGTAAATCAGTCTTAAACAACTATAATATACATGGTAGAAAGTTTCTAAAATCTGATCATTGAAAACTAGTATTTGTAACTTTAATAAATTCTCTATTTTATCTTAAATCTTGTGTGTTATTGTGATACATTGAATGACAAATATCTTGAAATGAAATATCGATCTCAGCTTCAGGAACGAAAACCGAAACGTATTTGTATGTGTCCATATTTACAAGGATGATGTTTCCTAGACATGTAGGTTTGTACAAGGGTATGTAACACTAGACAACATCGATAAAATGCACGAATTCTTACCTTCGACATGGGATCAGAGATGACAGCCATCAATAAACGGAGTAAGCGCTGAGGTCCCATTACATTTACAACATAAAGAGGCCCTGACGGGGTTCGAGCCAAGCTTCATGAGGCAAACTTAATGGGAATCGATATAGCAAATGTTTAAACTTAGCCTCCTTCACAAGATCCGTTTTTGCAGAACACTGTTTGTATAGACGGTAGTCTTAAAAACACAAAAGCTTATTTCTTTGGAACAGTGTTGTTAAATGTTAGGTCCCGTTCTCTTTTTAACAATGGTGAAAAACAAATTCTTTAACCATGGAATAAGGAAAATACTTGTAAAGGATAATTTTATTTATCTAATTTCTCCTCTTTTTCAGGAGGGACCTTTAAAATCAAGTTTAAATATGAAATTAACAAAACTGTTTAAGGAGGAGAAATATTTAAAATAAAGTATGAAATTTTATTTTTGCACTTTTGTAAGTTGAAGCCAGGCAGTACAGAGCAACCCAAACAAAAATGTTCGGATTAGGTCAAGATTATTTGTGAAATATACAGTGTGAATATGTTATAGACATTTTATCCTAAAATTGTCTTATGGCATGCGTTTCATCATGAAGATGACGTTGACAATACTTACAAAAGAGAAAAGAAGAGAATTATTCAAAATATGATATGACGTTGACAATACTTACGGAAGAGGAATATCCGAAAGAAAGTATCAAGTTGACTATTCTTAAGGAGAACACATGGCGACATTAACATGGTGTAATAGATGACTTTTAAATCTATTTAACCTCGGCACAGTGAAATATTGATACAAGACAGATACACGTGTACATGTTACAACCGTCCCATAGCGGCAGTGTTTACAGCACGTTGATACCAAACAACCCAGATCACTTGTTACTATACACAGACGGCAACAAACACACTTAAAGCTACAAAGTCAAAAGTGATTGCCTCTGGTCCTGTATGTTTCATCGCTTGTGTGTATTGTCTGCCTGCTATGTCAACCACTATACGGACTTAAGTGTAATGTGCAGTGCAAGCACGGGGATGTTGTTGGCAATTGTAAAATGAACGTAACACACACTCTCTCTCTCTCTCTGTAACACACAATCACACTCACACATGCTCTCTCTCTCTCTCTCTCTCTCTCTCTCTCTCTCTCTCTCTCTCTCTCTCTCTGTAACACACCTACACACACACACCTACACCCCACCCACCCACACCCCACCCACACCCCTCTCTCTCACACACACACACACACACACACACACACACACATACACCCTCTCTCTCTCTCTCTCTCTCAGTAACACGCACACATATACACACACACACACACACACACACACACACAACACGTTTGAGTAATGCACACGCTTGTCTTGTCCTAAGCTTATGATGTAAATCATATTTGATGATTCCTATTCTAATTTTGAACATCTGCGGTTGAACAATTCATTGCATAATGTTATCAAGGGGAAATAACTCGTGTATACATAAACTACAGCGAATGTATTTGGTGTCATATCGGGAACCCACTTGTTTGCAAGCCACGCCCATGGATATTTATTTGACAACGAAAAAACATACAACTGTTAATATCAGGGAATTGATTATATCAGTATCGTCATTGGCTTACATGATTAACATTCTATCTTGATTATATCATATCATTACCGAGCAGAACCAGAACCAGAAATCTCAATTATATTATGTGTGCCCAAAATGTGTCCTTGTTGATCACAGCAAGATTATCAAAATATATGATCAACAGGGAAAAACACTCAAAACCATGCGTAGTTTTACCATAAGTCGTACGTTGGTGTGGTCCTGTTCATATCTTGGTAAAACATACATCTGTCTGAGCAAATTCGAAAAGAAAAGGTGTTATTTGTGTACATTATTGATAACTTTAGCTTCATTTTTTTCTTTGGTCTTCCTCGATATCCAGGGGTTACGCTCACTTGTAAACGCTCTCTGCACTCCTGGAATATGTCATAGCAAAATTGGAGGCTCAAAGACAGATGTTTGATTGGTCTCAGGTCAAAATACCTTACCAATCGCGAGGCTGATATCTGTCCTTTGAAGATAACAAAGGGGCGACACCCGATTCAATGTTAATCAATTTACCGTTACGCGACCGCGAGATTCTTTTGATGTACATCAAAGGATCGAACTAGTCTTCTTGTTTCATCAACAAGGTGGCGCACACTGAGCCTTCGATTTTGCTATGACATATTCCTGGGGTGCAGAGAGTATGAGTGAGCGTAACTCTTTGATATCGAAGATGTATTGTTAATATAAGGTCGCGTCCGCTATACGCTTAATATATAAATTGCAATCCATTCGATAATCACTATGTTTTAGTCCTCAAATTATATATTGCTGGTACCAAGTATAGTGTAGAGTCATTCCACCCCTAAAATTCATCGTTCAGATTTGCTTTATCAGATAACCTAAAAAGAATACATACTAAACATTAAATAGCTTCCTCATTTTATTATCAGGGTATCTCATTTTGTTTAAACATGGTTCAAGAAATAAATGACATTATTTATGTCTTATACATAAGTTTTTTTCCGTTTTAATATTTCAATTCAAACCAACACGTTTAGTTTATTGAAATAAAAATATATAGCTATATTTTGCGTAATATATGTTCCTTTATAGAATATTTCGCTCTGAATCGTAATTTAATAACTAAATTCTGGAAAGCTACAAAAATAGCCAATGACACATAGCACTGTGATCCGTTGTCACAACGATCGTCCTATAGCATGTTTTAACATACTGACTACATTGTTTACATTACTTGACGTCATCTTTGTTTGGAAATTTTCGGATTCAACTGATCCTTTAACTTCACAAGTGTTTCACATACAGCCGGGTTGACGATGTGACATGGTGTATATTATTGACTAAAAGGTAATTAAATTTTCCTAAAATTATTTCATAATATTAGAAATCGTACCAGCGATCGTTCTACACCATAGTATAGGTAGAAAATGCCGAACTAATGTCACGATAAATTAAACGTTATCACAAAATCGAACATTTCAGTTTCATTTGCTAGAAGATATAATTATAATCAATGATTTGTATGTGTTCAAACCATTTCCCACGTGTTAACGGACAATATTTTTCGTGACGTCATATGTTTAGCTGAGGTTTTTATGTTCAACTGATATACAACTTGAATTAAAACCTGTTTGTTATAAATTGACTAATCAACACACAAAGATAAAGTTTTTAATTTTATTATATGGTTTACGCTGAGATCCTAGTTTATCTCCTAAAATATTTCTAAATATTTGAAGTTGTCTTTTATGTTTTGAATTGTTTTCGCTTCCTATTTAATAAAATTATTTAAAGCAATATACCAAAAAAAGATATTCGGTCCTATTAATAAAAATGTTTAGGTTTCAATGTCGGTGACAAATCATATCTAGTAGGTTGATCTTTTGTGATTGGCTAGACTATATTTATCCCAGACATGCTTGTCTCACTTCCTTGTTACGTTATACGAATGTTCTGTTATCTTTTTTTTGAACTTTAAACAGCTAAGGGCGAACTGGGTTTTCCCATTTCTGAGCAAAAATAGTGTACGATGTTCACCAAGAGGTATACAATTTTCCTAAAATTATTTCAAAGTTTTTGGAATCGTCCCACTCGGGGAACTATAAAAATATACAGCACCTCCATAATTGTAAGCAGAAACGCTGTTGCCATTATCTTGGCTGTCAGTTATGGTACATATATCTGAAAGTAAGAATGTTTCATGGAACAAAAATATTCATGGTAGAAATATTTTTTTTGTGTTATGATAAACAAGCATTTATCACAAAATCGGAGATGAAATCATGTATTACATTTCAGTTGTCTTTCTTAGCAGGAATCATCATGATAACAAAGTCGTCATTTCAATTAAATAAAAAAAATAAATAAAGGTCCTTGTTTGGTAGTTTGGTACGTGACAGGCACTAACTGGCTGGCTCGACGCGAGTTTCTCTTAACATATCGGCTCACTCATGTTCGGGCCGCCATCTACATTTAACATGGCTCCCTTATAGAGGTGACTCAGAAGGGAACACTATTGTCGTTATGGCATGTTACCTGTGCTTTTAAAAATATCACAAAGTTATTTTTGCCCAATAAGCTCAATTTTCGAAGAAAAGACATAATTACTAAAAATAATTTCTGACTCAGTTGTTTTTAAAATGTTTCAGCGTATTCGTCCTCGGGTCGCAATTTTTTATAATACTGCTATACAGTCCTACTTTCGGTTTGAACCAGGTTTTCCCATTACACGTAACTACCTTATGTATTGAAGAGACAAATACCTGAAGTTTATTTACAATATTCGGGCTGACGATGTGACACCGTGTATTTCTTTGGCTAAGAGATATACCATTTTCCTAAAAGTATTTCCCAGTATTTGAAATCATACTGAACGGTGAGTAAAATGCTCTGTTATGTTCTCTGATGTCAGTTATGTTGTTTACAGTCAGACATATCTTGTGAATGGAATATTTCATTGAGTATATATTATCCTTGGTAGAAATATAACGTGATGCCCTTGATATCGTTTTTGAGTGGAAAATTTCCAGGTTCAACTGATCCTTTAACTTGAGATAAGATTTGTTTTATTTCAACTCACTGATATACCCACAAAGACCAGGAAGTGTGTCACTTATGGCGAGGTTGACGATGTGACATGGTGTATATTGTCAGTTATGCTGGTTACAGTAAGACATATCTTGTGAATAGAATATTTTATTGAGTATATATTATTTTTGGTAGAAATATAACGTGATACCCTTGACATCGTTTTTCAGTAGAAAATTTCCAGGTTCAACTGGTGCTTCAATCGAAGTTCAAACTTGTTTGATTTTAAATTGGTGGATCTCTTCACAAAGCCGATACTGTACATTACATATGTTTAGGTTAACACTTTGACACAGTTTTATAACTCTTGATCAAGATATTTTTCATTTTCCTAAATATTAAAAAAAAAAAAACTATTAATCTGGTTAAGAGTTAATGACTCTGTTTATATGCTTTATGAACCATACATTTGATATCGAGTTTAATGCTGCATAATACATTTATTACAACACAGACGAACAGTATGTAAAAATAATGTACCAATATTAACCATTTAACCTTCGTTTTCGTGTTAACAATCTGTTATGATATATTCCTTGGGAAATGTGATTTGGCATTACCACATACATATTGATTTGTGGCCGATGTGCTTCCCCATGGCTAGTAAAATGACTTAAGATCCGAATGACATAAATTTATAAAGACATTTTTAGATAACATGTCATTTCGTAACATTCACGGGTTGCCACAGATAAAGACATGTTATAAGTCAGGTGAACTTTCTTTATTAAAACATCTCAGCTTTAAAGTCTTATCATTGACAACGTTAGTCTGGCTGGCTGCATACCATTTCAATAAATCACGTTTATGTTAAATATATCCTGATTACTTAATATGACTGAAACACGATGTTAAATTAGAAACGTTAAGTATGACTTGGGTATCCATACTACCATTTAGGGGGCTTGTTAAACGAAAGGTGCACCTAAGAATAATACACGACAATTGTAAAAATATGCATATTTGCCAGTGTATAGATTCATATGTGCATGTATGATACTTGACATATGTGTATAAATGTTATGTTTAAAAATACTTGTTACTTGATTTTTGGTTCTCTATATATTCATGACTTGATAGATCAACGTCACACACACATACAAACACATACAAACCAATACACACACAAGTGATTGTACCTTTTAAAGTTTGGTAATAAATACAGTATGCCAAAAATACATTACACTGCATCATTCAGCTATTTTGTCCCAAAATGACTTGTCTCGTTAACATTTACGTTGAATGTTGAAAATGGCAATTCCATTTTTGTCTATCTTGTTATTGTTCAGGGACTTGTTTGTTTATGTAGACAAACTACTTCGCCGAATTTTAAATCTACTATTTCCGGGATAAATGCTGAATGTTCACGCAAGCCTTGAATGACTTAGCCAAGGCTTGTCAGTCGACAACATATAATCACGAGGTCCGCCCCTATTTCATTAAAGAACAATTCTGGTTCAAACAGGTCCAACCGTTTGGAACGCAATTAAGGAAATCGGCCTATGTGATCACTTTCCTTATATGGAATATGAGTATTGATTCTTGGTCATGGTCGTCGGACTAAAGCACTTTTTTATCATAATATACCACGAATTATTATTATTTTAAGCCGTAAGGGAAAATCCTAATAATTGCTTCCTTATGTAACGTAGTTCAACAACTCTGATTAAAACAGACTGAACAACGACTAGAAATATATACACTAAAATAGGTAAGTAGTATCTTACGTACTGGGTTTCAGTAGAAAATGAGATGAGGTAGTCCTAGTGTGTTAGCGACGATAACATACTGTAATGTAACTGTGACCCGTTGTTACTCCATATGAGCAAAGATTATTTTTGAAGGTCGTGCGCGGTCTGTTTCAACTTTAAACCTATTGCGTAAGATTTATTCGTGGCCTAGTGTTAATTGTGTTTACCATTTTTTAAGAAACAGGTTTTCAAATAATACTTAGAATATACTCAGTAGGATAAACAAAACATTTCCAGTCATTTCTAGACCTATTTAGCCATTAACTTAATCACCCAGAAATTTCATAATGAACTATTCCAATCTTTGAATTTGAAGACTTCAAATGTGTCTGTAGGGGTGCATGAGTTAATCTGCCTTGATATATACTAAGTAAAACCAATGCACATATAAACAACAGTACACTTTATATATGAACAACTACGTCAGCAATGCTGATCTACCGTTGATTGCATACGGATAGTGACTTGCCGTGTTTATAATGATCAGTGAATACAAAAAGTTGACATTGATATATTTGCTTACACTCAACGTAAAGTTGACATAATATTAGCTTACAAGTAACCGAAAGATTGCATTATGTTTGATTACAATGAGTGAACATTATTTCTATGCACGGAGTGATGTAATATGGATAGACAGTTGTATTTATTCAGACCAAAACTCACCTGTCATATTTAAGTTATATCGGGCGATTACATTTTCGTTCGTGCAATCCCACCTTGTCATTGTTCAGATGATCGTTTTCTTTATACGATCTGTCTATATGTATATATATGATCTCTCTATGATTATACTCGAATGTAATCAATATGGGAAACGAATGGCAACAAATGTCAATATGGTCTGACTATATATAGCATTCCTTTATTACAATACTTTGAGCGGTAATTTTCTTACGTCATAATGGAAATCCTTTGTTTTTTTCCTTCAGGTGATTCAAGCACTGTGATTCCAGTATACCAGATTGATAACCTCTAGAAACCTGTACTTCAACATATACACTTACATAGGTAAGTATTTTCAACATTCTATCTTAATCTACAGAAACTTTATGTTGATATATGAATACATTTCATAGGTTCTGTTTCATAGGTTTTATTCTACAGAAAGATGTCGGAAAAAAATCTTTCTTTTTTTTATAATCCAACACTGAATTGCAGAATACGGAAATATATTTTAATCTAAAACCACTACAAAAAATATCTCTCCTCTAAGTTGGCAACCTAATGAATTCATTTAACTTATTAGGCAATTTTGTATGTAGAAAGTTTATATTGTCATAATTCTGAATTCGTGTTAATTAAGTTGAATAATTCAACATTGCTTTCGGTTTATTGCGTGTCCTATGAGAGGGCGTGATATACCAAGTTGGTATATTTCAACGTGTATAAAGCCTTTTTTTAATTGCTGATTTTAGCACACGAACATGTTAGTTTATTTAATATAACGCGAACACATTCATGTTAATGGTTTGTATGATCAAACAATTACATTTACACAGAGTAAAATTATGTAAATATTATTTTTCATATTTCAGATTAAAATGGCGTCTTCTACCGACAATGGCTAAAGGCAATAAGCCGGGTTCTTCTCAGTATAAGGAAACAGCGAATAACACCAAGACATATAACCATGGTAACGACATCCACAATGGTGCCTCTGGCGGCGACTCCGAGGAACAGGACAATGGGAGGCGAGAAATGGCAGGTGCACCTACCTTTCAAGGAAGACGACGATCGGATAAACAACAAGAAACCTTGGACTTGACGAAGGCCCAATTTTCAAAAGACTCACGTCAAACAAGCTGGAATCATAACCATCATCAGAAAAAATCAAAGGTTCTCCCATCACGCCAGGACTTCAACGGGTCTGTCCAGCAGTCCTACGTGTCGCCTGCCACTCCAACTCCACAGGACTTAGAAGAAGACGGTGACCTAGACTGTAAGGTATGTAGAAGAAACTGTTAGCTTTATTTGTTTATCACAAAAAAATGTTTTATATCTTGGCAAGTTCTCGTATGTACTAGTTTACTTGTATACTGATTTATTTTCATTTCTCTGCAGTCCAAAGTGTTTAGTTGTGGAACCGATAGAGTTGACACGCCGGACAATGTACAGCCGTATTCTAACTTTGAGCCAGTAAATGATCCAATAACACAGGTAGCAAAAATTTATCACAGTTTTTTGGTATTTTCTTCTTTTTCTATTTAGGTTTATTATTTATATGTTTTCAATGGCTGTATTGGACAAAACTGACGTTTTTTTCTTAATATTTCATATCTTGTTTTTGTTGATTGAATATTTTGTTTGTGTTGAATACACAATCCCTTTCCTACCTATTTCCGATATACAAACACAGTGTAATTTGCTTATGATCCAGTGTGGTCAAGTGGTAATCCCTTAAAATTCACAAGGAGTCACTAACAACAAAAAAGTTTATAATCAGCCTTTGTTAGTTGTCCAGTGGCCATTTTCCCTTTCAAATGTAAAGTTTTTCAAATGTCTTGAGGAATTGTGACTTAATTTGATCTGAAGCATTGCTTGGCTAACAGAAGGATGGCGCCCCCTGGAGGCAAAGGGACGTTTTCCAATAGGGGAAATGAAAACATTGTTCAAGACAATGCATAAACGAAGAATGAATCCTTCCATGGGAAAGATGGGTATAGCCTTGAAGAGGAAATAGACATAAACAGAAACAAAATCAATGAAAACATCTTCGCTACAAGTTATGAGATTTTAACAGAATTTACTCCGGAAAATCCTTGGTAACAACAATTAATGTTATGTGAGAAGATAATGAATCCGCCTCCTCAGAGTCAAGTACCAATAGGATGACATGATTATTACAATTAAATATATTAGAAATAGCTATTGAACAATAATAAGGAAAAGAAAGGCTAGGTGAGCTAGTAATTCCTCGGTTCCTCGGGCGCAGTTACTTCACCCCTAACAGACATAAGATTCATACACTACGAAGTTTAACTTATGCCATGAAATATTACAATAGATATATTAAGATTAGCTACTGAAAAGTAACGATGTTTTTTTCCGTAGGACACAGAAGATCAGCTGATTGGAGTAGTGTATACGGAGAATGTTCTGATAGCTCAGGAAACCCAGTCGCCAAAGGATCAAGGTAGATATCAGATCTAACAGGGTAGCATCACTGATGTTTGCATTTCGTACCTCAGGGACCTGAGAATTTGTTACAGTAACGCTGTGTTTGGACCTAAACAAATATGTTCAGAGAAATATTAGACATTAGGTAATAAGCTACTTCCAATTATGATATTGATCTCAATTTATAAAACGTCTAATACTACTCTAAAACCATCAGCTCAGGTCCAATCGTAACTATGCTCAAACAAATTATCAAGCCCCTGTGATTCTCACAGATCTGCATTGGTGAAAAAACAATTTGATTTTGGGCTATCTTACACGAAATGCTGATTAAGTATATTTGATTGATGTATTTCAAAACTAGAATTGTATGAAAACACCTTCAAAATGGTGATCTGGTAACTAAGCTCGAAAGTTATTGTAAATTTTCAAAAATTTCCCCAAAAATGACATTTTGAAACTTTCTACTCACGACTCGTAATATTATGATGGATTATCCAATTTGAACATCTGACTTTTTGTCTATCTAGTCTTATTTTGTGGTAAACATTCATATGTAAACAAAATCGAAAATTCCCTCATATGATTCTCCGAAAACAGGTGATTCGTTAGGATTTCAGAATAGAGAATATCAAATTTGGAGTATTTTTAGTCTTCTTATGTCCGTCTGTCAATTTGGCGTCAACTTTTTTGTTCGAAAGACTTCTTCTCAATAACCATTGGACCTAGAATGACTTGGTCAATAGCATACTGGGATATAAAGACTACTGAAGTTATTCAAGCAAATGACCTTTAACTACTCCCAAGGTCATTGGAGTCAAACATTATAAAATATTTAAGCTTCATATTCACAATAATGTAAAGGCCAGGGGTGATGATATTGGGTTAGTTTCATGTTTGAATGAATGGTTGACATTTATTTAATTGAATGCCCTTCACCCACATTCAATGTGGCAAGAATCAAATGTTCAACATCTACTGAATAACCGAAAGGCCCTGGATAATGTTATTTCGACAGTAGCATGATGTGATAAATGGCTACAAAATGTTGCTCAGATGAATGACTTTGACCCATTTTCTAGGTCATTTGGTCAAATGTTTAATATGGCCACCAGACATATGAGGGTCCTCTTTTTACCCATAAAGTATTGTGCAATAGTTCAAATTCCAACCTCACTTAAAAAGAACAATGTCATACAAAGCAGTATGAAGCTTTATTCAAAAGTTGCATTTGCGTAGAACCTATGAAGATAGTATGACGTTGCGGGCGCCAAGATCCATCTTGGATCTCTTGTTAAATACATTGCAGTCAAAATATTCCCTTCCTTTTTAATTCGTATTTTCTGTTATTTATCAAATAAATAAGATGTATCACGTGAGGTTATTGCCATATAGTGTATGTCTATGTTTTCTCCTTTTTTCTAGAAAGGAGTGATGAACTGGTGTGTGTGAACACAGACACATATTACGTTACCAACATTTTACCTAGTTCAAAGAACCATGAAGGTAAATTGACATATATTGTCAAACTAAGTTTGTAAATAAATCTTATATTTGTGTGCATGTAGCCATCACTTTTTCTTTTTATTCGTCGGAATAATTTGGATGATTTGACATTTGGTAAAGCATTACGACTTTTTGACAATAGATATATAATTAAGGTTGTTGGACAACAGGTTTAGCATTTGGATTGTTTGACAATTTGCATAGCATAAACACAAAGATTTTTGTTATACAAATGTTTACATATTTGTTTTATTATGATATTAATGCATGTGTTTTTCAATAATAATTATTGGTGGGAAATCTTTTTAGGTGACATTGTTTGGCGTTGTGTGTTACACCTTACGTCAATGAAACTAAAAATGACTTGTAAGTTTCTTTCTTTCTACATTTTTCAGAAATTGTCCAGTCGATGTGCTTCCAAAAAAACATTGCTGTAAAACACAAGGTACACTTTTACTTCAGATTTTATAGCTTCTATCAGAAAATATGTATTAAGAATACGAGAGTATGAAATAATTGACTAATGAGATTGCCGTCAATTGTAGTAAGGTATTGTCGTCAAACTGAGTAAGAATATTTAAAACTACAACACATTGTCGATATATGTAGTAAAAGCTATCATTGTATTAATAAATGTCGTCACTTTCGGTCTCTTCACCCCTGGAGTTTGTTGTAGCAAAATCGAAGGCTCAGTGTGAACCACCATGTAGATGAGATGAAAAGACTAGTTTGATCGCGTAACAGTAAAACTTACTGGCTTTGAAGTCGGGCGTCACTCCTTTGTAATCTTCAAAGGACTAGTATCAGCCTAATGATTGGTCAGACTTTTTTTTACCTGACACCAATCAAATTGCTAGACGTGTGCCTTCAATTCTGCAATCACATATTCCAGGGATGCAGAGGGCGGAAGTGAGTGTAACCCCTGGATATCGATAATAATGTTTTAACTAAGAGAAAGCGTAAACAAACTACTTCAATGATACCTTTCGGCGTTTTCTTTAGTTTCTGATGATGTCCTTTTGATCAATTTTATCATTGTGAGTAAACGCTGTGGCATGTTGTGTCTTGGTACGAGTTCACATTCTGGTGCATTTTGTTCTGTTGTTTAGACGATGTGGTATGTACATTTATTGTTTGTGTGTGTTAAAACTGTGGTACAGTTTGTCCTTGAGTGTTGAAGCTTTTGGTCCATCTTTGTATACTAAAGGTGATATTTCGTAATTGCGCGGTGACGCCACGGTATATACTGTCATTGTGGTTTGGGATGCTTGGCATATGTTGTCCTTCATCCAGGGGTTACGCTCACTTTGGCTATTTGCATGTCGGTAATATTTCTGTACTTATGTGACAGAATGAAACTAAAAACAAGTATCGTTTTAACTTTAATTAATTAATAAATGAGTGATTTTTTCTGAATTGTCATTATCCACTTCATATCGACTCGGCTAGGGAAAATTTATCTTAACGTCATTCGATAGAGCTTAAGACTAGTAAACAAGAGGTCCCGGGTTCGACTCCTAGAGTGGATACATTGAAGAAAATATTAGCCATTGTTACACTGGTGCCAACGTATAGGTATACTGACAAAATTACTTTCACATAAAAATTATGACTTCCTGAAGATTCTTTCCTGGGGGGTGGGGGGGGGAATTCACCCTGGTAAAACATTATCCGCTTCTTACCGACTCGGTTAGGGAGAATTTATCTCTAGCTGATTCGATAGAGCATTAAACATTAAACAATAATGACCGCTGTTACATAAATATAATCTTCATATACTTGTAGGAACGACTCACCAGGACTGAAGAATGTGGACATTGCGAAAACGGTTTCCATGCAACGGTGAGGCATGACTTCCCTTCTCAACAAGCTAAAGGAAGAACAGTGTTTGAGCAATGCAAACAAAAGGTTGGCCTAGTCCGATGTCTGACTTGTGGAAACTGGGGGACCTGCTTCCGTATTGGCAAATGCAACATTGCCACATGCTGGCATGTTATCAGCAAATGTGAGTTTGATACTATAATCATCTTATAATCGTTTAAACCAATTCAATAGTTCATAACATTAGTAATTAAATATTTTCGTACCACTGGAAATGTACTTAAGTACTCATTATTCAGGATAATTTTGGGGGATGACCATTGCTTTGATTAAAACATTTCTGAAAAGAGCAATACCTTACGTGACCTTTATGAAAAATAATAAAGACAAGATGCACAAAAAGGATCTACACCAGTGTTTATGTAAAAGTACAATTGGGTCAGACCAGAACTCAAACCCTGGACCATAACACATGATACTGTCGCTGTAACCAACTTAGTAACCTAGTCAGTTACGGAACCCCGACCCTGTCTCGCTATCGATCGATGTATCAAAATGGAAAAATTCAAATAATCAAGGAAATGTTACTGTTTGTTCGAAAAACTACTAAAAACTACAATGATTTGCCCAGAGTGGGGCAGGGATCCTTCAATGATCTCTTATTTATTTAGATATAAATATAAACTAAACACTTGCTCATTATATCTTTGATGGATGGATATTTATATTAAATAACAAAAAAAAAAGTTTTTTAACCAGGTTCCTCAAATCTGTATTCATTGTTTACTAGATAACAAATTGGTTTCAAGAAAATACATTAATCCTGTCACAAGATATCATTGCAGTAATAATAAGGAAAAGTATTGAAGGCAATCCATAGTCCCCCTAGGGAAATTATTTATTTATTGACTGAACTGTACACCTATCTTAGGATAAAGGTCACAGTGTCATACTTCTTGTACTCCACACTCTGCCAGCCAAAGCATTCTTGCATACCAAATCTGTATACTCCCGGTGAAAAAGTATAGAAGATTTACCAAAGACAAAGTTTTTTCAAAGGTTGAGGTCAAACAAAAGGTCAAACCTGTCATACCTTCATACTAAATCTGAATTTTCAAAGGATAAAGTCAAAGGTCAAACAATAGGTCACAGTGACCTACTTTTTGTACTTGACACTCCACCATCCCAATATATATTTCCATTCCAAATCTGGTTACTCCAGGTTAAACAGTAAAGGAAATCACCCCAGAGATATTTTTTCAAGGGTTGAAATCAAAGTTCAAACCATATGTCACAGTGACCTACTTATTATACTTGACACGCCGCCATCCCAAGCTTTACTTACATACCAAACATGGTTACTCCATATGTAATAGTATAGATGATACGCCCTGAGCAGACTTTTAGGAAGAACAGAACACGAACGGATGGATGATGTACAAACCTTTAGTCCACTCGGGAATAAGCATGTTTTAGCATATTTTATGAAGTTATGGCTAATTCCTTCAGTTCAAGTACGAATTCAACTTTTCACGTGTCATTTTGTTGCCACAGGTACAGACCATCCAATCACAGCCGTCTTCTATTATCAGGGACCCAATCAACAAGACACGTGGGTTTACAGGATGGGAGAGAAATACATCGATAAAAATTTAGACTTTGCAATCTGCGAACTTTGCAATAATGATAAAAGCTTCCCACCGGCCTTCACGAAGTTCAGACACTCGACACATGCCGACGGCTGTTCCGAAGGTCTAGTGTACCTTACATGCTTCCAAAAAGATGCAACTGACCAAATTAAACTCGATGTACACTGTGACACTGTCAGATTAAACAGCAAAACACTTGATGATGATCGGTTGTACAATCTCAATTTGATGGCAATGGAGAAATACCCCAATAATACACCAAAGAATCGTCCTTATGGGGATGCAAACTTGCATAGAGATAATGGGCATGTGCCTTTGCTGTGCAAAGTCACTCACGGAGGATCCGGCGGTGTTGGAGTCTCCTTAGACGGAAATGGATACGTGGTGGTGGACTTCATGTACAGACGAGGATTCCCTGGATTCTTCTATGAAACAAACACCGAGACAGCCTTAACAACAGATGAGAAAGAGGAATTTCCGGGTTGTCTTCGCATGGAAGTGGGTTTCGATATAAGGACGATGATCAGGAAATCGGGCCAAGGACTGTGGGAATGTGGAGAATAAACAGGTATATAGACAATGTCTTTATGATTTTATGTCATATATATACCAATCATTCTGTTACAATGCTACTATAACTTCCTGATAAGTTCAGACAGAAGTCTTCACAGATGTGCCTGTGGGAAACGGTGTTACGAAGAACTTTATCCCCAGAAAAGGGTGGGACAACTCTGTCGGAGTCAAAAACGTACATTTGTAGTCGAAGACTGTCAACACAATACTTAATTTAGAAGGACTCACAAAGTAATCAACTCATGACAATATCATTTAACGTGTAATATACTTATAGCCAATATGAACGTCATAACCTTATATTGCTGATGTCATCATTATTATGACGTCAAAATTGTAACGTTGAATTGCGCTGATCCTCCATTGATGGTGGGGTTTTTTCGCTTGAACATTTAGACTTCATGTTGAATTTTGATTAGATGATTTGATTTTGGTATGAAAGTAAAATAATTTTTAATATTTAAAATACATGTTTTGAACTTCTCTCAAATGACATTTATAGATTTATGCTTAGATTTGTTTTTTCTGTTAACCAAAGTTATTGGTTTTTATGTCATCCTGACCCTTCATCGTGCTTCGTCCGTCGTCGTCCGCCGTGCACCGTCCGCCGTCCGTAAATTTTCAACATTTTAAGTTCCATCAGTGGGATTGAGCTGAAACTTGCCTGAAATGATCCTGAGATGGTCCTCACCAAGTGTTGTTATTTTTCGGGTCGTTCCAAAATCAAAGATGGCCGCCATCTTGATAAAGACATTTTAAACTTCTTCTCCAGTTCCACTGGTGCCATTCTGCTAAAAATTGTTGGGGATGTTAAGGAAAGGATACCGACAAAGTGTTGTTATTTTTCAGCCCCGTCAAAACTTCAACATGGCAGTCATGGTGGCCATTTTGTAACATGATTGCACTATCATGGTTTTCCTAAACAACACCTATTTTAAACTTCTTCTCAAGTTCCACCAGTGGGATTGAGCTGAAACTTGCCTGAAATGATCCTGAGATGGTCCTGATCAAGTGTTGTGATTTTTCGGGTCGGTGCAAAATCCAATATGGCCACCATGACCGCCATCTTGAAAAACACATTTTAAACTTCTTCTCAACTTCCACCAGTGGGATTGAGAATATTTCATTGAAAGTTGAAAAGTTACCATTCTCCTTGCTCAGTCTTTGTAGTCAGATGACCGTTAAGGCCCATGGGCCTCTTGTTTAAGTTATGATACGGCTAAATTTAGATATATGATAAAATTTAAAATATTATGAAAATCATAGGTAATGAAATTGTACTAACTTTATACATCACTCACTCGCTTATATTTTTATAAGGTATTCAAATATTCCCGCGGTTCGCAGTAGAAGCGGGAATAATTTGTCTGATGCGACACGAGAAGCAGATAGCTGTCACGTGTACTCGGGTACACCTGATGGTAGATGTTGTCAGCGTAGTCATTTTTAATCGCCTACTCGGGACGTATGGTTCATTCTAAACTTAAGGATGTATAGGTTGTTTTTTAGGGTCGCTCAGTAGGTCTGATAACAAAAAACAACAAAAAACAGCGGTCCAACTGTCACCTCAAAGAAATCGGTTTTTCCTGGGCGTGCAGGTTGATTTCGATGATCCAGGTATCTCTTTATTGTCATTTCGCAGTCTACGTCAGACTGCGGCGTACATTTTTTTCACGTCGGATGACGGCAAGCCGTTTATTATCAGTATATTTATGAGGCTTAATTTGTATATATTTATTTTGATTGTGTTTTAATTTTTTTCATGGATAATTGTGTAAATGTTGGGCATGTAAACCACACTGATTAAACGCCAACCGCCATACGTCTTTTCGGCGAGCTAGTCGCTCAGAGGAGCGAGACAGTGATATTGTCTTCTTATATGACTTAATATATCATTAATAGTTTCAGACGGTATCGGTGTCCAAAACATAAAGATGTTATATACTAACAACTGTAAGTGTAGGCGCTAAAATAGGCACTTTAAAGTACACGAGAGTCCAGGAAATGAGCCAAATGAAATCCCCAATGAAAATTAACCATTTCACAATACATCGAATTATATTGTACAAATGATATGAATAAAAACAAAATACATTGTAAAATGTAAGAGAAAACCCAGAAACTAATACTTTGTATATGAATCTTAATGCATGTAGTCATAAATTTATCTGTCTTAATTTGATACATCTCATTAACGGTGTATACTAGTTTATGTGTCTTAAAACTTCTATTTTACAAAATGTGTACGTTAAAATATGTGTTTTCAATTTAATACTTCTCATTAACGGTGCATACATGTGTCTTAAAACTTCTCAATAACATGATGTATACATTAAAATATGTCTTAATTTAAGTGTTGTGTATTTCATTTTTGACATGCTGTATCTATTACTTAATTTTATAGGTGAAATCACATGTGTGTGTTACATTCTTTCTTCATACAACACGATACAGCTAGGGGTGGTGTCACAATGCGCCTGGAGTGTATCACGTTTTCTCTCTTTTCCATGTGTGTAAATAGAGCTGTCCAGGGTAAGAAATTTCTATGTTACATCCCATTTCACGTGACGTGACGTCCCAATGGCTCAACAATGACTAGACGTCACGAATTTGGAAAACACCTATGACGCAATACGGAAAAGGCAATGTGATGAGATTAAAACCTTTAACGATCGATAAGTCAAGATCTGACAAAAGGGTCCTTAGGACATAAAAATTGATTTTGTAAGTTTAGTGTCATTTTATAGAGGAAGAAACAAGCAATTGATTTGTGCAAACTTTATTGCTTTTTGTTAAAACTTGACTTCACAGTGGTGTGGCAAACTTTAGAGGCTTTTACGAAAAAAATATGACGTTATCTAGAATGACGTAAAAACGTCATAAATATGACGTCAAAAAAGGTGGTAGTTGATACCACTGACAATGAAGACTGGTAAGGTTTATTACCATCCTGTATTGATTTATTGGAAGTGTCTATTTCCCCTTTGTGTTTTAATATTTTGGTTGAGATTCAACCATTGTGTAAAAATTGTTTATTTGGAAATGAAACACCGGGGCTGTCATTGACTGCACTATGGTAATACAAAGGTCTACATAATTTGTACATATCTGACACTGGACATCCATGACTTTGGCCAAAACAATTTTGTCTCACCCAAGAGTGAGAAAAGCTTCACTGCTGATCTAGTAGTTCAAACATCTAAGTTCACTCAACATAAACACACAAGCATGTACATGTAGATGTAACCCTTACATGTTAGGGATAATCCCGGAGGGGGCCTTGGGGCCATTGACCCCTCAAAACAGAAATTGACCCGTCCATGTTCAGATTTAATTTTAATTTTACATAGAATGGCCTACTGCTCTCAAATTCCAGGATTTTCCTTGCATGTTCTAATTAGACTATTTCAAATATGTTAACTTTTCACAAATAAAACATTAACTATTTTCAACCTTGAAAGTAATTTATGTATTTTTCTCTTTGTGTTTGTTCCAAATTCAATAACAATTATTACTTTTACAGAGATTCTTTAAAAAACAATCATTTAACCTTAATTCACAATTGAATTTTAAAATGTCCACTTTATTTGATGTCACTTGGTGAGTTTTTATACGCCCCTCAAATTTGACTGGAGCATTATGGTATGGCGTCGTCCGTCCGTCCGTCCGTCCGGCGTAAACTTTTGTTTGATTCGACAATTTTTCCAAAAGTGATTGCTCTTTGTTCATTTCAGTATTTTATTTTTTGTCCGGAGATTTTCTCCTACATTTTTTGACGGATTTCTTTGAAACTGATTAGGCTAAATAATCATGATATGTTGTTGGTTTTTCATAGAAAAGAATTTTGATTCGACGATTTTTGCAAAAGTTATTGCCCTTTGTTCATTTCAGTATTTGATTCTTATGTCCGGAGATATTTTCCTACATTTTGTATAGCATGTCGGCTAACTACTCTTAGAATGATGCAGATCTTATTTCAATTTAAGAAAGTATATAACACTATATGGCATTCGACGGGCGTATATTATTCCGCCCCGCGGTACTCTTGTTCTTCCATCACATGAAGACAAGCAGTCTATTCCTCTGTGACATCCAGGTCACCACCAGTCTGGAGTTCAATAGTAGAAAGCTCTTCAGTATCAAAGTACGACATACATTTTTTTGATTTGACATTTATGTGGAAACAAGGTAGGCTATATCCTTTGCCTGAGATGAATATTGGCTCCTTAAAGATAAAACTCAAGCAGGAAAAAGTTAACCTGTATATCCCATCTAATCACATAGTTACTGTAATAAATAACTAATAATTCCCCGGTCTCATAAAGATATTTGCAAACATGTACCTGGAAAGGTTGAGGGGAAATGGAAGTGATGATTTTTTCCGATTCCTGGAATAGCCCTGGAGATAGCTTGAAGAAGCCTTTCCAATCATACTATTGCAATAAGTTTTCCGACATGTTTGACAATAAATTGGCTTGGTTATGTTGGGATGGCTATCTTTAAATCACCGAGGCTGTCTATATCGTACCTCATAATCTTCTTCCTGATCAACCCAAACATGCCATCCACCATGCAGCGAGCACGGTACGGCTTCATAAGATGCAGGTATATTTCCTCATGAAACCTATTTGCCAGATAACTGGTTACCAAGAGGAAAATATGAATTGGATACTTAATTAAGTATCAATACTGAGGATATGGTGGTGATATGTTATTATACTTCTGCTTGTCAATAAGGAGAGCCATCACTAATAAAATCAGATCACCTTGTAAACAGGTAAGTTGATTCTAGGTTATTGTGTTATGCATACTTGGTTCTTGTTTTGCCAGAATATAACAGTGTCCACGTACAAGTGTGAAATCCGAACACAAAGAGCTTATCAACGCGTGTGTGATCACCAGTTAATACAAGGAATATATATCTGCATATATTTTCAGGAAATTTCAAATCGATTTAAGTACAATACATCAGATTATACTGTAGCGTTAAAGAACACAAGATTGAAATCAGTAGTCGATGTTTATTTGCAGAGATAGCATAAAAAAGAAAAACTCACCAAAAATAGCAAAGGATTTGATGGTGTGACTAATTCAATGGCTTTCGATGATTTGACTGCCGATTGTAATGGTTTTACTGGTGGATTCAATGGTTTGACTGTTGGATTTAATCATTTGTGTGTTGAAATCAATAGTTATGTGGCTTAATTAATTGTTGAACTGTTGAATTAAATGGGCTGGCTGTTAGATTAAGTGGTTAAAATGTTGCATTCAAGTGTTCATCTGTAAGTTTAAATGACTTGGCTTTTGGATCCAATGGTAAGGCTGTTGGATTTAATGGTTTGGCTTTTGGATTAATGTTTTGGCTATTGCATTTAGTATATACACTTTTAATTTTAATGTCTTAGATTTTGCATTGACAATTACATTAACTGTTTTGTCTAGTTTGTGCAATACCTACTACATAGTGTGGATTACGTATTCTCTACACAAAGCAACGTTACAAAATGTATATATTTATTTATGGTACTTTCTGTCATTCAACTACTTATAAGATCCCTTTAAGTTACTTTCCGGCATTGAAATACGTATAAGATCCGTTTATGGTACTTTCTGTCATTGAATTACTAATGATATCCGTTTATGGTACTTTCTGTCATTGAGCTATTTATACGATCCGCTTATGATACTTTCTGTCATTCAACAACTTATAAGATCCGTTTGTACAATTTTCTGCCATTGAAGTACTTATAAGATCCTTTTATGGTATTTTCTGTCATTGAAATACGTATAAGATCCGCTTATGGTACTTTCTGTCATTGAGCTACTCTTAAGATCTGTTGACGGTACTTTCTTTCATTAAACTACTTATAAGATCCGTTTCCGGAACTTTCTGTTATTGAACTACTTATAAAACCCGTTTGTGGTACTTTTTGCTACTGAATTATTTATAAAATCTGTTTATGGTACTTTCTGTCATTGAACTACTTATAAGATCCGTTTATGGTACTTTCTGTCATTCAACTACCTATGAGATCCGTTACATTGTATAATGATTGTCGACTCAGAGACAAGTACATACCTTGCGAAAGGTTTTACATATGTGACCTGTTATGTCCCATCATATATGTAATAGAGCATGCATTTCATTGAAATATCGCAGATGTGTGTTCACCTTAACATCATATATACACACGAAACATCCGTCATGTGTCAGCACTTCCTAAAGAGAACGGTGCCATGGAAACGCCGAACAGTTTTAACGATAACGTGGTCGAGTTCGATTCCAATGATGATGACTCGGTCTACGAACTGTCACTTTAAGACGACTTAGTTTAACATTTAATTTGTCTAGCATGGTGACATATGAGCCGTTCACAATTCTAATTCAACATTATTCGCTTTTAGTTAGTATGTCTGTTTAGAAGCTTTCGTCTTTTATTTACGGAAGACGAAATATTAAAATAAATTTATGCATGTATGTATTGCCTATATATACCATTTTAGTATACGTATAGGATTTCGTCACACTTACCCGTGAATCTTTGCCAATACAAACAATTAACGTCACAACAAACTTATTAATATGTCTTATCACTTAACCAAAATAGTAAAACCCCTGTTCACTAAATGCTGTGTTTTAAAGCTTTATTTTAATCCATATATTTATTACCTATAGGTTTTATTTATTGAAGTAATACGTAAGTAGGTCCTTGTCCATCAACGATGGTTGTGTTTCTTCTGGTATATCATTAAAAATCATTTACATTTGCTCTGCTTACTTCCGTTGCAATGTATTGAGAAGGCAAATGTTGTCGTGACACTATAACAACATTTGCTATTAAAAGTCATCAATTTCTTTTGTGACGTCGTCAATTTCATTGTTGTCAGCACTTATTTTGCTGTTGAAAGAACTGTTCGAAATAACTAAAAACATGTAAATATGAATAATGAATAGTTTAGCAAATGTTGTTAAGGTTCTATAACACACATTTATATTGCTGACAAACTTACATAAATCGGAGTTTGTCATCAATGGCAATGTGTGTTATAGGACCATAACAACATTTGCCAAAATATTGATTGCTTGATTATAAACAAACGTCTTCATCTACAATATTTATCACCAATACAAATACCCGTGAATCCTTGCCAACACAACAATAAATCACGTAATCACTGTATATAATACACTTTCTAGTATTCTAGATTACAAAAATGTAAAACACACTGATTTGCAAAATCCTTCGTTGATGACACTGTACTACTTATTCTTCAGTAAATATTGTTTAATCTAATGAAGTTTACGTGTCATAGTAAATTCTTAATATCAAGA